CCAGCCCATCCTTTAATCGTCGCGTCACCCACCCCCCCCCCTCTCACCAATGGACACTAAGCTGAGACTAACAAGACTCCAGGGGAGGGGGGGGGGGTACCGGGGGGTACCGAACAGACTTTTGTACAGTAAAACAACTAATATCTAAGTTCTCGTGGGGATAAGATGAAGGCTCTCGGTCGGCACGGGAAGTTGAACGTGAACGCGGACCCAGAACGTTGGATTCAAGAACTTATATACTGTTCTTGCTGCAACCAATATCATGAGTTACAATCTCCGACATCGAGGACTCTCCCCCCTTGGATCCGTCAATGGGTGCGATGCGAGCGAAACAAAAAAAAAGAAATGGACAAACAGACTGTCGAATGGTATCCATACACTGCCAGACGAACAATCGACAAGGGGTAGTGAAACAGAAGGATTCATTTAAGCGCAGATTTGTTGGGCTCAGAACTGAACGGTGAACGACAAAACAGCCAGCTGTACCGGGACAGCGAGGAGAAGCGCAATGGAAGAGTAGAAGAGGCTTGATATTTCTCAATATCCAATGTGTTTAATGCGTAAAAAACAACTTAAACCTGCATCCGTCGCAAACCGGATAACTGAACTTCTCCCACAAATAAGAATCGCCGAGCTGCTTCCCACAATCCGCACAATTTTCTGGTGCAACTAATTCGGCCAAGCCAGCCGCTTCGTCCAGGCCTGCAAATTCAAGCATTAACTTTTCGCTTTCGGCCCATCCGTACATTTCAAATAATGGTAGATTAGGACTGGGGAATACCACGCCTGAAATTTGAACTACGAATAAATACAATGTTGGAACTCAAAAAAAAAGAATTTCCACTTTATATTAACTTCACTCTCCCTCTCTTACACACTTAACTTTCATTATTACTTTACCTATCACTTTTCAATAACATATTTTTTTAAAGTTAAAATCAAATTCATGCTAATTGCCATAATCGAATAGTGGAGTAAGAAGGTTGGAATTAGGTGTCATGTATAAGAAGACATTTCACGATGCAGTCTCTGTTTCATCCTTTTGCTGTAACAAACACAGACCGAACAATGCATGCGGGTAGGAGTGAGAATCGTCAGTACAGCCTCCTACCCGCCATATATTGAAAAGACATGTAACTAATTTGCAAGAAGGATAAGCGAAGTCGTACTAACGACGAGGTCCAATTGTGGTAACGGTAAGAAATGTATACGACTCTTAATGGACACCGAAACATTTCTTATTATTAAAAATAATTTTCAATACATTTAAAATTTCATTAATTTCTTCTTTTTAACATTAAAGTATTTTATTACAAACAAAATAAATTATTTTATAACTTTCGCCACCACAATTTTTAATTATAAATAAGCAAATTTATAAAAATGCCGCTGTTGGATCGGTAGAGCCCGTGCATTAGTGAGTAAACCGCAAGAAAGAAAACGACCACTACTGTGCAGTCCGGAGGAAATGGCCCCTTTATATAATGAATAGGCGATGAGTACTAACTGGAGATATGCAACCCGGATCGAAGGCCGTTTGGCATAACTGTGTGCAAGATTATTCCAGCAATATCAATGAGCAGGATTACCTACACTGATATTCAGACGGCCCTAGTATTCATAGACCAATGATGTGCCCTAAAGTAAAATAAATAGAATGGAAGAGGAAGATTCAAGTTTAACATTCCATGTCAACAATGTTAAAAAAGCCACCCCTTGCAAAACAAAAATAATCATCACAAGAATACCTAAATAATATTAAAAAAAAAACATGAAATATAACCTAAAAGTTTACAACTTTTAATTCTTAAACTACTTCCAAGAAAATAAGAACAAGTTTCCTTACTCTTACCATACTACAACTTACGCAATAAGCTATAATGCGCATGGTGTGAATTGAGAGATAATATTTTGGAATATGTTTTATAAAAACAATGTGACATATTCCTATCTCATGTGCTAAGAATATCTAGGAGGAATATTTGTCAATGTGTTTCATCCCTTAGCTGTAAACAGACAACTAAAGAGGTTTGCGCGAAAATGGGGTGTTCTGGAATATGTTTTATAAACAATGTGTGACATATTCATATCTAATGTTCTGAGAATATGTGGGAGGGGTATTTGTCTCTGTTTCATCCCTTAGCTGTAAACACAGACAACAGGAAGTGTCCTCAGGGATGTGAATCATCAGTACAGCCCCCTAACCACCATGTAAAAGTAGCAAATGTGCCCATGTGAAAAGACAGAAGGAACTGGGGAGAAAGAAAGAAAAGAACGTTATAAAAATAAAGTTGGATTTCAATGAATACGCCAGAATGAAGCAAAATTTTTTGTAAAAAGAATTAAATCTGATAATTAGTAGTGGCTTATCTAAGATTTCAAGTAAATATCGCTAAATGTGCGTGGTAAATTACGTTTCTGACGTGCTTCAGCAATTCGTTCTCGAATGCTTGCATATTCATCGTCATCATCCATAAAGCCACCGGATTCATCGTAATTTTCTTGGGTTTTCCTGTAAATCCACACGATACTGATACAGTTGTACAACTACCCGTATGCTGAAGTGTAATCCATATTACCTGCCATGCTTTTTTCCCTCAGCTGTAAAAAAGACAGAAGTACAAAGAGAGAGAGAGAGAGAGAAAGTGACTGGTTTGGACGAGCAAACACAAAACCTGTAAAGCTTTTCCACATAGGGAATGTAGCCGTCACCATCGTTTATTCGGCCATCCACTCGATCCTGACGGCGCTTCATCCTACAAAAAAAACACACACACACATTTAGGGTTAAAGAAAAAATTTGAGGAAAAAACGATCAAAAGCATGTAAGGAATTATTAAAGTAAGTAAGAAATGTTTCTATTTTCATACGACACGCAGTTATGCCTCATCTGAAAAGAACCGATTTGTAGTAACGATTAATCAAAATTCGCAATAAGTAGTCATGGGCGATCAACAACGCGTGGTCTGAGTCTCACAGCGGCGGCGGCCCACAGCGGACGTGAAGAAAATAGAATGGAATAGGAAGATTCAACTTAAATATTTCATGTGGAATATGCTAAAATGCGCATGGTTGGGGGATTGTGAGATAGAGTGTTTTGGAATATGTTCTATAAACAATGTGTGACATATTCATATTGTAATTTTAATTTTAGATGATGTGTGTTTATGTAAAAA